GGTGGGGGCAGAGGCGGCGCGGGCGTGTGCAGAGTGCGACAAGTGTCCTTGGGAGTCGGGAATGCGGGGGGAGGGGGCCGCGCGGCCGGGCGGGAAGCGGCGACCCAGGCTCCTGACCAAGAAGGGGCTCGGGCCCCAGCTCTGCCCGCCACTTTCCGCCCCGCAGAGTTCGCCGGGAGCTGAGGGCGCCTTTTGCCTTCCGTCCCCAGTGCCTTCGGTGGACAACAAGGGACAAATGAAGCCTCAGGCAACAACCTTGGCCAAGGTCAAAGAAAGCTTGAAGTTTTGCTTTCCACACCGCCGCCTACCCGCGGATTCCTTCGCGGTTGGCGCTGAGGTTGGAAAGAGCGGCACCCTGAAACTGCAGTTGCCTCTTTTTATCCCCCTCTCAAAGCTAGAGGGGTTGCGACCTACCCGCAGTGGGTGAAACTAGGCAGAGCGTGATAGCGCAAGATTGTAATCTGAACACTCAGAAAGCTGAGCCAGGAGGATCTCCAGCCCACAGAGTAAAACAAGCAGAGTCCGGGCCTTCAAGGATCAGGGCTGGTCTCAGACTCTGAGTCTCTTCTCAGCCATCTAGAACCAAGGGCCCAGAGTCCTGCTGCTCCCTACAAGCCATGGTCCACTTGGCCAGCAGGGTGTGCACGGGGGGGGGTGCTGCCACTCAGTCGCTGGGGAACATCAGCCTCCACAACTCTCCTCCTTAGGCCTCTATTTTTACCTCTGGAAAATGGTATCAAGCAGACTGAGTGATTCACCCCTCACCTTTGTAGCCTCTTCCCAATGGTAGGTGTTGATGAGCTTGAACTACTGGGGAAAAAAATCCAGTAACCTGCGAGGTGGCACAGTCCTGTGATTCCAGCATGCAGGAGGCTGAGGCAGGAGGATTGCCACTAGTTCCAAGTGAGCCTGGGCTACAGAGTGAGTTCAAGACCAGCCTGGCCTACATAGCGAGACCCTGTCTAAAAAATAAACAATGAAAACAACACAAACACATCCAAACAACAATTCTATCCTGTGCCCATATAAACATAAAACACAGAAACCACAAACGAGGGCCGGGGATGTGGCTTAGTGGCGCTGGGCCTGCCTGGCAAGTGCAAGGTCCTGAGTTCAATTCTCAGTACCAAAAAAGAAAAGAAGAAAAGGCAAATTAAATTTTGCCTCATTGAATGGGTCTGTTTTTCTATTGCTCTTTTCTATCCTTGTTATTAACATACAGTTTGTGTGGAGTACAAGGCACTAAAATGAAGTGTGGGGTTCAGTGTATTTTTGCAGATTAAGACATCGGCTTCCTACCCGAAGGCTCCCTGCTTCAAGTCGGTGACCCTCTAAGTTAATACCGACCGACCCCTAAGTACCATTGTTCTAGCTTCTTGCCTTAGATTAGTTGGATTTTTTGTTTGGTTGGTTTTTTGAGACAGGGTCTTGCTGTGTAGTACAGGCTGGTCTTGAACTCACTATGTAGCCCAGGCTGGCTTGGAACTACTGGCAATCCTCCTGCCTCAGCCTCCTCAGTGCTGGGATCACAGGCATGTGCCACCACACCTGGCTTTGCCCTAGATTTGTTTTGTCTGTACTTGAAACGCATATAAATGAGGTCATGGATTGGAATTCTTTTGCATTCATCTTCACATGCTCAGTATTGTGGGAGGGAATTTATCCATGTAACCGTGGACAGAGTTCTATTTGATTGCTCTACTTTATTACTGTGTCATATTCCATTATGTGACATTTATTTATGTGACAGGGTCTCGCTATGTAGTCTAAGTTAGCCTTGAACTCACAGCGACCCTCCTGCCTCTGCGTCCTGAATCCTGGGATCACAGGCCTGCGCCACCCTGCCAGGCTCCCTTGTGTAACTGTATCAGTGTCCAGGGATCTTGCCATGTGGCTCCTGCTTGTTTTGTGCACGTGAAACTTGGGATGCGAGAGTACTACGCATTCGCCTCCTCGCCGCTTCTCCTTAGACAGGCGGTCAGTGCCACGTCTGTTCTTCCTCCCGTCCACTGGAGGGCGCTGTGAATGGGGCAGCAGATACCTGTGCAGGACCCTTTCCAGTGCCTTCGTGTAGAAAGTGAGTTACAGGCGGATTGATTTTCAATTTGGGGTCTCTCCTCACTGGTGTCCGCCATAGCCGCGCCATTTCATGGTTCCTTCAGCAGGGCCGGTGGGAAGGGTATCTGTTCCTGACGGCCGGGGCTTGGCCCCCATAGAACAAAGGCAGAAATGCAAAACCGTCAACAGTGCACAGCTCTGTTCCAGTTCCTTCACTTCCTCGCCAGCACTTGTCATTTTCTGATTTTTTGGCTT